CTCAGCCACCCTCGATTATCAACCGACAAGCTCAGATCAAACCAATCAATCTGCACATTGCCCTGGTCTTGTTCTTCGAAGAATTGGAGGTTGTCCAAATCTTCATCGAGATCTGCAAGATCATCTAGCCCTCAGCTTGGGCCGTCTTCTTTGACCACATTAACATCAACTGAGTTCAGTAGTACTACCTTAGGCTTGGACTGAGCAACAGGAACGATGTATTGGCCCGGGTCATATTTCTCCTCAAATAACTCCTCGAGAATTTCTAGTGAAAGGCTAGCACTTACTTTCAAGGTCTCCTCTTCTTCGGGCGTTGTCACCACAGATTTATGAGGTTTGAATTGTGGGTTAGATGTGTTCATCATGCACAAGTCTGTGCCATTAGAGATGAACAACACCGGCTTTGGTAAATGAGAGGGGGTGATATAGACGCTCGGGTCATAGGAAATGGGTAGTGTATGGATGTAGTCAGTGCGTGGTGGGAGTGGTACTTGGTTATGATTGGGCAGTGGGTTGGTTACAGTGTTTAGCTTTTATGGTGGAGCTATAACTTTGTTGTCAATGAGATCTTGGATCTCATGACGTAGGTGGAAACACCTGCCTGTTTTGTGGCCATGTTGATGGAAGACACAGTACTTGGTAGGATCGTGCGCGGGTGGAAGAGGGTCTAAAAGTGGTCAAGGGTCCATGGGTTTCAGATACCCTTATTGATTAACACTTGCATGGCTCGAGATAGAGTCATGTAAAGCTGGTTGAAAGTCTTACCTGGAGGTCGGGTAGGATTAGAGGTTTGTAGGCTCATGTAGGTAAAGGGGTCGGCGGTTTTGGTAGTGGTGACAACACTCACCTCTAAAGGCCTGGTAGTTGTGCTAGCCCCGGTAGTATTAGAACTGCGAATAAAAGGCCTTTTGGCCTTGTCATCTATGATGATACCCTGTTTCATCACGTCTTCAATCTAAACTCCCATTTCATGAAGTTCCTTGACGTGAACAAAGAGAGGATGATCATCTTCTACAACAGCTTGCCGTGAAGATTCTCGACAACCATCTGAATTTGGTCTTTTTCTGAGGGTCGGGTGGTCATCATCGATGCCTTGGCCCTCCACCTAGTTACAAACTCTAAGAAACCCTCATTCGGTTCCTGACGCATTGCCTTAAGATCACGAGTTGTGACCTTGATCTACGCATTGTAGGATTATTGGGCAACGAAAGACTCGGCCAACTCCTCCCAACTCTGTTTCACAAAGTCCTCTAATTTAGCATACCAGATGGCAACTATCCCAGACATGGTTCGATCGAAGAGTGATAACTTCTGAATTCTGGTCAAATCCATTGGTCGTAAGATATCAGAAAATAGACGCAGATGTACCATTGGATCTCTAGAGCCATCGAAGTGATCAATGTGCGACATTTTAAACTGTTCTGGTAGGGTAACAGCAGACTCAGTATACCCGTCCTCAATATCCGGAATAGAGTTAACCCCCTATGCCTTCTTGAATAGTTTTTCAAGTTTGTTGACTTTGAGCATGGTCGGGTCAACCTCAAATTCAAAAGGTGCCTCAATCTGGTAAACTGGAGCTCTAGACATTTGAACTAGAATTGGATCTGCCTGGATGGGAAAAGCCGGAACACCCTCGACTAATGGATCCTGAGTTGCAGCAGCATTGGCAGTGGTATCGGGCATAGGGATAGCCACATTAGGTATATATGAAGTAGAAGCCGCAACAAGCAGTTGTCGTTGTTGCAACCTATTTGTAACCTCGGCTTGACGGGACATATCATGCTGGAGCGAGTCGACTGACTGCTGCAGGCAAATTAGTAATTCCTCCAAATATGATGATGGATACCGAGCCATTATAGGAGTAAGTGACTGTGCTTGAGGTGGACTGAGTAAAGGCGACCTGAGAGGTGATTGCTAGCATAATTTAACACATTAAAAAGCACTAAAACAATACAAAAACAGTGCTGAAAATCAAGTTCCAGAGGTGAAAAAAGTGAACAAAAATGGAATAAAACCAATGGGTTTCAACCAACCAACAATCCTAAGGAAGAGTGGCTAACCCATCCTCTTTCTTGTTACTTTAAATCACATATTTCAGGCCTCAAAACACTTTGAAAACAACAAGATTTCTCTCTCTTTTCCTTATGTGATAAAAGATAAAATTATATGTTTGCAAATAGGTTGGGGGTCTTCCAAGAATATTTGATGCTACACTAGGTTAGACTTGATTGTTAATTTGAGATCATTACACAACTTATTTGATGGTGAGAACCTTTGTTTGTTCCATGGCATCGTTTTGTGAAGATATGTTTAACTAAATAGCCATATATTTCCATGTGACTGCCATGGATCTTTTGGATGTGAAGTTATACTTTGCAATTGCTTTTAACTTTTGAATCCCATAAACATTTTATGATTTGTTTTTACCATAATTGTCATAGGCTGTGTTGATGTTTTGGATTGACTGTCACTTAACAAAACTTTGTCCTAGTGTTCCGTTGTTTATAATTAACAAAGTGAGTCCTTCATTTGTTCAATCTACTTCTGTAAGAAAACAATACTTGTTGAATAATGTTGTGGGTACAGATTTTGTTTGCAAATTTTAACTAATCGATAACACAGCATTTTATGCATAAGTCTACAAATTTCTGTATATCTAGCATTGCTATGCTTGGTTTTTAGTTCTAGAGTTCATACAATATACACTTTAATCATAATTGGTTTACTTTCGAATTAGTTTAAGTTATTGGCATAATATATAGAACTCTTTTTTATTTATTTATTTTTCTTCTTCTGTTTTCCTTATGCTTTTATAGCATGTGTGGATTTCAGTTTCTTTTTCAGCTAGTTGTCACATGATGGTACTTTTTTGTTTTTTGGGTTATACCTGCTGAAGTTTAGAGGGTAACTTCACTTGTGATGTGTTGTGAGTCCGGTGCCCTCAATGCTGTGTAAAATGTTTTCTGTTTTGCTTTTAGTTGGAAAAATGTTTGCTTGTTAGAACTTTCTTGATGCCATGTCATGTAGCCATTTGGAAACTTGTCTCAACGTGGAAAAAGTTATCCAGTACATCTGTAGACACCCATTTTGACCGCCCTTAAGATTTGGGCGTCTCACTCTGAACGCTCGATGATGAAACATTACACTGTGCAATCATTCGATTTCTTCAACAAAAGGCTTCGGTTTCAAGTTTTAAAAGCTAAACCTTGTACCCCCTTTGGATCAAAACTTTATTTTTTCTAGCCTAACCACTCAGAGAAGAGCTGACCAACAAGTGGCCGGCAGGCCATTTTCATGTGGCCGGCCGTGCCTCTTCACAACCGGTCGGCCATATTCAGTGCATCAAATATTTTGACTGCAGCCAGCTGTCTCCATGTCCATGCTTTGCACCAGTTGTCTCTTTACAGATATTTCCGACGTAAGAACCAATTTTTCTATAAATACAAGACCTCTCCACATGGTTTGGGGTTAGAAAAAATTGCCAAGAGCCTATAGCTTGCTCAACACACTTCCCTCATCTCTTCCAATATACATACACTATACATACACCTTATAAACTTCAACTTGAGGCTTTTGCTGAGGTAAAGAGACAACTGGTGCAAAGCATGCACATGGAGACAAGTGGCTGCTGTCAAAACATCTGATGCACTGAATATGGCCGGCTAGCCGTGAAGAGGCACGGCCGGCCAAATGAAAATGGCCTGCTGGCCACTTGTTGGCTAGCTCTTCTCTAAGTCGTTAGGCTAAAAAAAATAAAGTTTTGGTCCAAAGGGGGTACAAGGTTTAGCTTTTAAAACTTGAAACCGAAGCCTTTTGCTGAAGAAATAGAATGATTGCACAGCGTAACGTTTCATCATCGAGCGTTCAGAGTGAAACGCCCAAATCTTAAGAGCGGTCAAAATGGGTGTCTACAGATGTACTGGATAACTTTTTCCACGTTGAGACAAGTTTCCAAATGGCTACATGACATGGCATCAAGAAAGTTCTAACAAACAAACATTTTTCCAACTAAAAACAAAACAGAAAAACATTTTACACATAGCATTGAGGGCACGGGACTCACAACACATCACAAGTGAAGTCACCCTCTTAACTTCAGCAGGTATAACCCAAAAAACAAAAAAGTACCATCATGTGACAACTAGCTGAAAAAGAAACTGGAATCCATACATGCTAAAAAAGCATAAGGAAAACGGAAGAAGAAAAATAAATAAATAAAAAAGAGTAATAACTTAAACTAATTCGAAAGTAAACCAATTATGATTAAAGTGTATATTGTATGAACTCTAGAACTAAAAACCAAGCATGGCAATGCTACATATACAGAAATTTGTAGACTTATGCATAAAATGCTATGTTATTGACAAGTTAAAATTTGCAAACAAAATCTGTATCCACAGCATTATTCAACAAGCATTGGTTTCTTACAGAAGTAGAATGAACAAATGATGGACTCACATTGTTAATTATAAACAACGGAACACTAGGACAAAGTTTTGTTAAGTGACAGTTAATCCAAAACATCAACACAGCCTATGACAATTATGGTAAAAACAAATCATAAAATGTTTATGGGATTCAAAAGTTAAAAGCAATTGCAAAGTATAACTTCACATCCAAAACATCCATGGTAGTCACATGGAAATATATGGCTATTTAGTTAAACATATCTTCACAAAACGATGCCACGGAACCAGCAACAAACAAAGGTTCTCACCAGCAAATAAGTTGTGTAATGATCTCAAATTAACAATCAAGTCTCACCTAGTTTACCCTCAAATATTCTTGCAAGACCCCCAACCTATCTGCAAAACGTATAATTTTATCTCTTATCACACTACGAAGCAAAATATCCATCCGTGTCTCAGATTCCCAGATACCTTCAGTTGAAAACCAATCAACCACATTACTTCCAGCAAAATGGTTAGTTTTTAAAAAACACAAGTAACAATAAATTTTCAACTGACAGATACAAACATAATAGATAGCAGAGACTGTAATGGTACGCAGAACAACAAAACAATATCCATAAACTATATTAGGAAAGTATAAACTTCTCAGAGTACCAGAAATTTGAATCCATTCACATCATCCAAATAAAATCATTTTAAAATTCAAAAATTCAACCATTTCTTATAGTATTCACAGGTCTTCGGAGAGATAATGCCATCAGGTGTGCACTGACTTATCCGAGGACAAACCCCGCATGGAATTGAAGCCATGGCCCCAATTTTTGGTCCCTGTCCGAGGCCCATTCCAGTTGAAGATCTATAACAAGCAGTGCCAATTGGAATGGAATGATATTCTCCTAGTCCAGTGCTCTTCACCTCAAAAATCTCGTTGTCTAAAACCATAGACTTCAATATCTCTTCAATTTGGTGGGTTTTGCACTCAATCGTGGTGATTTTATTCCTCTTGATAAAATCAGAAATTCCCTCTGCCGTAACTACCTTCAGCTTCCGTATGATTTTTGAGCATGAGTCTTTAAGAACAGCAATGAATTCTTGATCGAGTTTGCCCTCCACATACCATGCACCACCGGTGAGTTCCTTTGATGGTTCAAACTCCGCTGCCATAAAATGTTTCCTCCCCTTGCTTTTTATGTTAACAACCTCTTTTATAAGTGCCTTGCCTTGGAGTGTCTTGATGGCTTTGTTAACCACGGGTTCTGGGAGACTTGTCTCTCGTTTCATGTCTCCTTTCCAGATTCCCATATCTCCTTTGCTTTTTATCAGATTTAATAGTACACTCTCAGGTGTCTGAGCGTGTGTATTTGGTTCTGGTCGTTTCCGCTTAAGGGACGGAGACTCCTGTGATCGGCTCATTTCTATTGAAAGAAAATAGAATTAGATGGCAAAATATGGTTAAACTACATTGAAATGCTATATTAAATTAATAAAGAACTTAACCAACTTGCGGTGAGATACTTCCAATTTTTAGAACTTTGAATGGAATGTTACAACACTGGGGAAGAAAGAGAAGAGGTGACAGATATTCTATCATTAATTTAAACTACATCTTAAGTTACACAATCAGTAACATATTTCTTTCATTAAAATCAAAACTACATCTTAAGGTAACAAGATCAAGTAATATATTAATGAATTTATCAAAAAAATAAAAAAAAGTACCATATTAATGAACCACTGGAAATTCTTTAGTATATCATATCATCAATTATATGATCTCACTCTTAGCTCTTCTATTACGTATAGTCTTGATCAAAGGATCTCTCATGTAACTTCCTCATAGCCCCATAGGTAGAGCAAGAGCTCATTGGTTAGAATTCCAAATAAATTGGCATGAAGGCAACAAAAAATTGTGTTTTCAAACTCACTACGAAATCAACACACACCAAAAATGTTTCATACTATAGTTCATCTCCGATTGACATAAATAAAATGAAAAAGAAAAAAGAAAAGGCAACAATATGCAGTGAAAAAAATTTAAAAAAGGACGACAAGAACAAACACAAAAATAATAAACAACAATGCTTTGTTTGGATGACTTGAATCTGTAGCAATGGGGAGCAAAATCAAAAAGGAACTGTAACCCTGTAAGTTGTAACTCCAATGTCTTAATAAAACTTCCCCCAACTATGGCTAAAGCCAACAGCCAACGGGTGATCCCTAAAGCATGAAAACCCTATATTGCTGGAGGTAAAAATTAGGAAAAGTTACCCAAAAAAAACAAAAACAAAAAAAAGAACCCCAAAGTTTAACCTTTGTAACAAAATAAAACTTGAGTTTTTTATTTTCGTCAATTTAAACCCAAATCTTTTGATTTGTTTTCAATACAAGTCATTGGTCTATTTTTGTTAAGTAAAACCAATGCATAAATGGCATTTAAGTCATTAAACTCAATGTAAGTGTACATAAAATGTCTAAAATACCTTTCCCGTTGAGTTTAGTGACTAAAATACTTTTTTTTTTCCCCTTCAATTAAACTAAACAAAATTAGGCAGATAGTTTAGAATGAAAACAAATCAAAATATTATGATTTAATTTGACAAAATTAAAAGGGTAAATTACACTTTGACCCCCTAAAGTAACTATTTTCTCAATTTAGTCCTTAAACTTTAGACCTTTTATCATTGCAGTCCCTAAACTCACCTCCGTTATTGAGTTTGGATGAAAAAAACCCCTGTCACGAATATACCCATATCTGTATGTATCCGATCCAGATCCAAGGGCATGATTGAAATTAGCCAAAAAACATATGATTATCACGTAATTTTGTCAATTGCATAAACCTATTTTGAGTTAGTTCTGCCAGAGAACCAAATCGTAAAAGAGGAAGAGAATCTAGTATCATATGCATAGTTGAAGAACTTGGAAGACTAAGACCCATTTTTTGGGTTTATGAAGATGAACTTGTCACAAAGAACATGAGACACCGCTCCATATTATATTAAAGAATGGCTTTAATTCTATTATTGATTTGTTGATAAGTTTATGATTTAAGTGATAAGGGTTTTGGTTTGTTTAAGATTGTGGGTTATGAATTCGATTTGTTCAATATTTTGGATATTGATTTTAATGATTGGTAACATTACCATAAAAATGCACAATATTACCAAAAAAAAAGTAAATTTATTTCTAAACCAAAAATTGTCATAACTACCAAAAAATTACATAACATTTACTACAAAAAAATACGTAACAAGGTATAAATGGTACACATCTTTGAAGGGTGTCCACCGAAGGAATTTCCTCCTAAATAATTTAACATTGTGGATTAGGGTTTTGACTTCGTTAGATTTTATTATTATTATTTCTTTTAATACTTGGTTATGGTTTGTTTATAGGTGTGGTCCATTTATTGTCACTGTCATTGGCATAGATGAGTTGCCTTGTCCCTGTTTGTATAGTCTCATTTTTGTGTTCATGTTAAGAAAAAGTGTGCGGTCCCTTGTTTGTGTATTGCAGGGCATCATTCAGAATATATTACAATTAAATTCTATCATGATGGATATTTTAGTGGAGTGGGAGAAAAAGTATAGGGGGGTAAACAAAGCTATTGGGATTATTGTGATGGAGATAAGATGTCAATTCTGGAGTTAGATTCCATAGTTAGGCAACTTGGTTGTACTGATTATGTTGGCCTTTATTGGAAGAAAGAAGCTTGGAATGTTCTTAAAAGACGGGTTAGTTTTCTTATTCACTAATGATATAGTTAATGAAATGGTAAAATCCATTGAGAATAGACTGGATGAGATCTATGTAGTTAACCAAAACCTATTTCCTTTGCTTGAAAGTCAGACAAGCTCTTCTGGTGTGGGGGCAAAGTCTATTGAAGTGGTTGTAAACACTAGGGAAGATCATAACATTGGCAATGATGAAGGGATTGACTATGGATTTAGGTTCAAATTTTGAAGACAGTGTGTATGATGAGTTTGAAGACTGAGTACACACTAAGTGATGATGATGTGCTCTTTGATGCTAATGTGGACAAGGATGTTGAGTGGGGGTGGCCTTGGTAATAGTATTACAAAGACAATGGCAAAGAAAAAACTGTAGAACAACCTGTCAATGTGGACCATAATGTAGAAGTGATGACTTTGACTTATCTGATGAAGATGGTGGGCCAAATAAAAGGCCCAAATTTCCTATATTTAGGTATAAATCTAGAACACAAGATCCTGAGTTTAAGATTGGCATGCTCTTTGATTCACCAACACAGTTTAGAAGTGCTGTAAGACAACATACTATCATCCAAGGGAGGGATGTCAAGTTTGTGAAGAATGAAGGAACGAGAGTAAGAGCTAAATGGAACAACCAAAGGTGCAACTTGATGATTTATGCATCTCCTCTGACTAGTGAGAAAACATTCTAAACCAAATCTTACAATTCTATTCACCAATGTGTCTGGGAGGATATTCTCAAACAAGCATGTAACTTCTAGGTGGGCTGTCTGGAATATATAAAGAGGAGTACTAATTACCCCTAATTAGCTTGTGCTATCATTCATGGAAAGGATCATGAAAGATTTCAACTCTATTACTCAAGCTTATAGAGCTAGGGATAAGGCGCTTAAGGCTATAAGTGGAGATTATTCACATCAATTTGGAAGGTTTTGGGATTATGTTGAAGAGGTTAAGAGGAGCAACCTAGGTACAACCATCTTTGTGAAATTGAAACCATCATTTCAAAGGGAAAGGGAAAAGGAACAGGAAGGGGAAGGGGAAAGGGAAGAGGAAGACATGTTCAACCGATATATATATATATATATATATGTTTTGAAGCTTGTAAGAGGGGGTTTGCTGAAGGATAGGAATGGATGGTACTCATCATAAAGGGACTCATGGTGGGCAGTTGCTTATAGCTGTTAGGATGGATGTCAATAACCAAATCTTTCCAATTGCTTTTGCTATGGTGGAGTTAGTGTACCAGTAGCTGGAAATGGTTCATTGAGACTTTGATCCAAGACTTGAGAATTATTGATCAACAGAGGTGGACACTCATTACTGACAAACAAAAGGTATATATTATTTACAATTTAAACTGTCTTAATGTATTTCTTGTATGTTACATAACTGATTGCATTGTCTTTATCTCATGCAGGGATTGGATGCGACAATTTCTCAGTTATTGCCCAACGTTAAACGCAGACATTGTTTCAAACATTTGCATAATAACTTCAAGAATGCTGGCTTCAGAGGTAATGCTCTGAAAGATAAAATGTGAGAACTAGGTAGGGCTAGTTATTTGACTACGTTAGAAGCTCTAATGGAGGATCTGCAGAAGTTTGATGATGAGGCTTACCAATGGTTGGCTGGAAAGCCACCAATGTATTGGTCTAGGTCACACTTTACTACTTTTAACAAAATGTGACATTGCTGAATAATTTATGTGAGTGCTTCAATTCAAAAATTGTGCATGCAAGAAGTCAACCAATATTGATCGTGTGGGAAAGAATTAGGGTGTATTTGATGGAGAGGATAAGTAAAAGAGGCTAAAAAGTGATATGATGATTTGGAACCTAAAATTCACAAAATCATAGAAGGATAAGAATTAAACTAACAAATATATTGCTTCTTTAGCTGGAAATAGGATTTTCAAAGTTAAGGGAACGACTGGGGATAAATTTGTTGTTGACTTGGATGCTAAGACTTGTTTCATGCAGGAGATGGGATTTAACAGGTATCCCATGTCCACATGCAATCTCTGTCATATGGTGTTCCTATGAGGAACCTGAAAAGTATGTCCATGACTGATATAGGAAGGATGCCTATTTGAGGGCATATAACCATATAACTTATCCAATGAATGGACAAGAGTTCTGGGTGAAAACAGAAAATAAACAAATACTGCCTCCTGTATACTCCAAGATGCCTGGAAGGCCAAGGAAGATGAGGATAAGGGAACCAGATGAGCTGCCTAAGAATCCTACCAAGCTAAGGAAGTATCAAACTTCAATGAAATGTAGAAAATGTGGGGAAGTTGGGCACAACATGAGAACTTGTAAGAGTGGGTTGCAACAAGGGAAGGTAGCACCAAGGTACTTAATTGTTTCAATTCAATTTACATCTGCAAATTATGTATTTTACATAATCAGCAAACCAATAACCAACAATGGAAAAGTGGAAAGGCCACACAACAGCAGTACCAACAGAGCCAACACAGCCCAGTCACTACCCAGCCACCATTACCACAGCTCAGAACACCAGCAACTATAAGTGTAAAGGGTCCAATTGCAGCATCAAATGCCAGGCCAATAGCTCAAGGTGTAAAAGGTCCAAATGCAACAGGTGTTAGGGGTACAGTTGTAATAGGTTTTAGAGGTCCAGCCAAAGGTGTTAGAAGTCCAGTTGCAGCAGGTTTTAGAGGTCTAACTCAAGGTGTTAAGGCTCCAACTTACAGAGTTAAGCCACCATTTGTTGCAACATGTGCCAGTGCTCCTGCTTGTGCTATAGGTCCATCACCCAGGCCACTTTTCATGCCTCCTCGATCAAGACAAGGTGTTGGAAGACTTTACATTGTCAATGGTCAATGCCACTGGAGTGGAGGTGGTCAGCAGTAGTGAATTGTCTCTTCTCCTTTTTTAGGACTTGCATAATGACTTGTTTAAAGCTACTGGACTTATTTTTGTTAAACTGTAGTTTTTGTACTATTTTTTGCACTTGTTTTTAATCAACATTGCTCAGCTTGATGTTTTTTGTGCTTGCAATTCACTTGCTTTTTAATCAATTGAATATTTTGTGTTTGCAAGTCAGGTTTTTGTGACTTGTTTCTTAGACCATTTTGACTTGGCTAAATGTTAGTTTTTTTGAATTTGATCTCTAATTGATGATTTTATGACATGTAATGGATTGATGAATAGATCATAACAGTTAGTTCTTTCAGTTGTTTGACTCCATGTCCGTTAATTTCACTTTACATGCAACACATACATAGACTTCACATAGATCTTAACAGTAAGTTTGAGGAAGGTAGGTATTTCATTATTAATTTCAAATATATCAAATACATGGACATCACTTTAGCTCTAACATTTCATCCCTAGAATCAGTTTTGTCTCCATGTCCATTGCTAAATAACAGAACAAAAATTTAAGAACAAACAAATGTTATTCTAAGTTGGAATATGTCCAAGACGTTATTCTAGCAATTTTCCTTTTTACAATTTACGGGCCAAAGTGATAAACTTATATTCCACTATGCCAAACCACCCTTCCTCAATAACGGAGGTGATCAATTGGACTGAAATGATAAACGGTCTAAAGTTCAAGGACTAAATTAAGAAAATAATTACTTTAGAAACCAAAGTGAGAATGACCCAATACTTCAGGGGGTCAAAGTGTAATTTACCCAAATTAAAAACCCAAGGTTTACTTTTATTTTATATTTTTGGGGGGTAATTTTGTCCTAAAAATTACTAGTTTCAATTAAGCAAGGCGCTAATTTTAAGGGAAAATAAATATTTGATTATTTGCATTGGATAGCAAAACCAATAATTCAATAACGGAGTCTAATAATTGAGCAATATAACAAAATTCAATATTACACTTTTTTATTTAAAAATGGATGGGCAGATAGGCTACTCCAACATATTTGTCAGGATTTATTGTCCTCAGCACCTCCAACATATCTGTAGGAATCCCACCGCACCTACGTCGAGACCGAAGCTTAGTGTCCTCAGCACCTCCAACATATCTGTAGGAATCCCACCGCACCTACGTCGAGACCGAAGCTTAGGGCCCCACATATTCCAGGCACTAAAGAGTATGTTTAACCCCCAATAAAGGGTTATGGAGACTGACTCGAACCCAAGCCTTAAAGTGAGGGATTCGAAGGTCTTATCCACTGAACCAACCCCCTTTTGGTAAGATTTTAGTACACACAATCTGCAATTTCTTCTCCTCCTCTCCTCTTTCCCTTCCTCTCTTCCTCATCCTTTCCCAGCAAAAACTCCCCCAAACAAGAAAAACTTTTTTTTAAAACAAAATTCACCAAAAAAAAAAGACAAACTAAAAACAACAATCAAGCAATATCAAACAAATTTTAAGCAATCTCAACTAATCTCAAGCAATTTAAAGCAAATTTGAAGCATTTCTCCATCACCAGAAAGACGATTTCAGAAAAATAAATACCTAGATTTCAAGATGTGTGATGGATTTCAGACGATTTCAACATTCTCAAGCTTTGTCTTGTTCGTGTGCTAGCTTCGTCGTAGGGTTTGTGTGTGGGGGGTTTCGGACCTATGTCAAACTACTATCGTACTCTAAGGCAATCTAATGAGAGCAAATCATCAAGCAAGAATGTGCCGGCCAGTCACCTGCGAATCGACGACGCAAGACGTGGTTGACTTTGATTCAGTCATACGGGAAATCTATGGAATCCAAACTCCCTTGCAAATACCATGCCAGGGCTTTTCGCTTCATTTGCTTCGCGAGAGAGAGAGAGAGCATAACTAGATGGCCATCAGCCCCTCCAACTACACGTGATAATTTTTTAAGATTTGAAAATTTTTATTTTGTTTATAAAATTGGATTGGGTTAATATTTTATGGCCATTTAATATTTGGTTCCAACTGAACTTAGCATAGGGAATTCTAGCTCAGCCCAATTTAGTCTGATCAGTTATAAAATACAAAAATATTTTAAAGCTCTAATATAAGAGTTCTAATAATTCTAATGGGAAGGTGGGATCCACCCTGATGTGATATTTGTGCCTTGTTTTGTTTTTTTATTTTTTTTAATTTTTTTTTTTGCTTTGACACATCACTAGAGCTCAAATTAGAGCTCTAGATTTAGAGCTCTCTAGCATTTCCCTATAAAATATTAAGGGTATGGCTTCTATCCAGTCTGGGATCGAATTGGATTGTGCTGTTGGGTCCGTGGGGATCCACCACGGGTCTCGTTTTGATAATCTGAACCATTAATGTATAGAAATCGTCGAGTACTATATGCCTATAAAAAATCATGTTGATCGGATATCGATAGCTATGTGATCAAAATAGTTTTTTATCAACCGTTAATTTGTTCACCGTCCAATTTTTTAAATACGAAATTGATTTGATCATATAGCTATCGATATCCGATCAACGTGATTTTTTACAGACATATAATACTCGACGAGTTCTACACATTGCACGATTCAGATTATCAAAACGGGACCCGTGGTGGGGCCCCACGGGCTGCTCTCCTGGGCCGGAGTATCCTTTACGGCCTTCTTACTTAGTCCTTCGCGCTTTGGACCTCAAAGCCCAACTTGCAGCTCGGCCCAATTTTTCCCAAAAATTACCCTCTCAGATATATATTTCTAGGATTTAAATTAAAATATTTGTCAAAAATCATATTTATTTTATCATTGAATTTGTTGATATTTCAAATTGAAATAATAAATAAAAAAATCTAAATAGTTTAATATTCATTAAAGGAAAAAAATAAAAAAATAAAAAAATTAATAGCTTATATATATTGGGTTAAATGGGCAGACTTGGAATTTAAATTTTTTGTGACCAGATCTGAGACGGCTAGATTAGACCCGATTTTGGTCCCTTACCTTTTCGGACTCCAATCTATTTCAAGTCTGTCCTTAGGTCTCTATATAAGTGGACCCTTTTAGTATTGATGGACACCACTTTTTAAGATTTTAAAACTTCATTCTATTTTCCTGTATAAAAAGTGTAAAGTTGTAGTCTGAAGGGTTATACATGCGTTAGTTTGTTAAAAGATAGTAAAGTTGTGTAAGTATTTCTTTGTAATTTCCATTTTATAAATATAAGTGTGATGCTTATTTATTATGCTTCTAATTTCTAAAATTCGTACTAAAATCAATGACAATTTGCAATATATTTCACATTTAGAATAAGAATTAGATCATTTAAGATTATTATTATCAATTGCTTCTAGTTAGTCTATTATCAATTATAGTCAAAGAATTTCTACTATTAAAACAAGAATCTAAGATGAACAAATTTCTATAAAGCGTCTAAAACATCTACAATCTTTAATCTTGACTTAATCTTTATCATTATGATTATAATACCTAGGACTCTTATGATATCAAAGCCATTACTGTTTTGGATTTGATTTGAATTTCTTCTATTGTCTTCAATTAACTTGTGTGACACCGAAGTCACAGGAGTCAATAAGCCATTAGATCTTTAGGCAAGAAGTCATCCACGACCACCGACTCATTGGGAATGCGAGTTCTACACCAAGCACCTTGCAAGCGCATTAGTTTGTGAGTGGCAAAGCAGGCAGGGTAGATCTCTATCGCATCTCTTGGGTTGGTCCTTGGGCATAATTCACGAGGGTATGCAATACTACTCGTGAAGCCGACTTCTCGGGAGGATGACAAACGTCCAGTCCGTGACAAATGGTATAAGAGCCAGCCTAGGGGCACTATGATGAGGACGGTACGTGGGACTTACACCAAGCACCTTCATTGTGGGGTCTGCACCAAGGGTAATGTCCGCACGGGGCGAGTTTCCATGGGTAGGGAAACAGACAAGCATGGAGGCAGACAGGGTAATGTCTCCCTGACGAAAGCGTCAGGGACTGGCGGTGGTAGCATGTCACATACCGACTCATTGGGGATGCGAGTTCTACACCAAGCACTTTGCAAGCGCATTAGTTTGTGAGCGGCAAGGTAGATCCATATCACATCTCCTTGATTGGTCCTTGGGCATAATTCACGGAGGTATGCAGTACCACTCATGGAGCCAGCTTTTCGAGAGAATGACAAGCGCCCAGTTCGTGACATTAGGCTAAACCACCTGTTGACAGTCACAGTTAATTATTACTTTGGCAAGAATATTCAAGTCATTCTCTAATTTAGGCCTTGTTTGTCATCCTCTAAAAAACTCAAAAAGTCAATATCCTATTTAAGTCACATCATCTTATTTAAGTCACATCACCTTTCTATCACGTCACTTCAAACCCAACCCATATTTCATAAAAAGTCAAAAAGTGTACTTATTTAAAACATGTGAAACAATACCTTAGTAGCTGGTGCAGGTTCCTATAAGAAATCAGTTATTATTAATCAAAGTGAGTTAGAGATAGAACAAATTTAAGTAAGATTAAAAAATTGGAAGTTGTCTACAAAAGATATAGATTATTTATATGATAAGAAATTTGAACTCAAACAAACATATAAAATAAAAACCGTAGAACAAATCCTCCTTGTTACTTAAGACAATCAAAATTTCCAATTATTAGAACATGACACTACTATCAAATTTCAAAAAAAAAAAATTCAACTTCGTATACCTTGGTTTAGCCCAAGTAGGAATCAAACCTATGACTCGCACACACATAAATAAATCTGTTTTATGCACACTTCGTGATATCTACTACCATGATTATGAAGATTCTTCACTAGGAGTTATAAAATCTAGTTTAGCTTATGGACCAATTTATTTTGAATGTTTCCCCAATTTTGAAATATTCTTACTCAATCCAACTATTCTCAAAACTCTCACTTTAAATGTTCAAACAAAATGATACAAAATGGATTTTCCTTATTTCAATATTACAATATGTTATCGTATTTATCTCAAAGCCATGACAACTTCTTGTCCTGGATTTAAATATATTTCACCTAATTCTAAAGAATCTACAATACTTTTTCAATCTCACCAAGAACACACCAAAATTATAGTTCCCAAAGTCATCACCTGCGAAGAGGTTTTACAGGCCGATGCAGATGATGAAGATACTTGGGTCGTTCCACATGTTGTACCTTCTTTAATCACCCAACCTCAAACCAATCCTAAAACAACCATACAAAATCCAAATGGATCTGTAGTACATCGATTTCAAAGATCCAGATCTGTTAGATCCCAACCTCAATCTTTACACTCCTATTCTACTAGGTTTCACACACCTGTTCGAACTCCGCAACATTTGCCTCGTCATTCGATAGATTTACCTTTACACTCTACTCGCCAACAACCAAATCAAATTCCTCATACAAATTACACAAATTTTAATAGATTCTCTCAAGATATAGATTTTGATATAGATTCCTTATCTATCAATGTTATTCAAAACAATTTTACAATTAATCATAAACTATTTTCCAAGGAATACAATGCTCCTTATAATCTACATAATTGAATTTATTTAAAGCAAAATCACACCATATCACAATAGCAAATTATTAGATCCGAATACTTCCTTATTTTACCGACAATAAAGAATCATATCCCATTTTTTCATTAGTATTTTCATACGTATTGTCCTCACCATCAAATATAGGTCCCATCTACTTTGCTAAATGCCCATTTTAATGTCAGACAAAAAAATTGGTCCTTTCTTAATGGAGAGACTCTCCAGTTCGTTCATCCTCCAACAAGACATATACCTTAAGAGGTGTTAGATTTACCTTTTATGCCAAACATACAATCGGCCTCCTATAGAAGGAACTCAAACATCAAAGACCATGAACAATTAAATTTAATCAATAGGCATCTCCAAACCATAGGTGAACAAACTACAAGGATAGAAGAACGAGTTGAATATTCCAACAACCTCCTTTAATTCAGAATTTGCCTTATCCTGCATATTCCTTCACTAGTCCTTCCGGATGAATTTCTTGCATAATTAAATAAACGCAAAGCAACACTTAGCATTTCAGTGCACCATGTTATCCCATTGATTGTTTTAATTTTTGAATTTCATACAATTTTGATGATAATCATTGTGATAATTTTAAAATTTTCATAATCAATTTTAAAATTTTGATGATAATCTTCTATTTTAAAATTTTCATTGTGATGATAATCATTGTGACAATCATTGACTCTACCAGTGCTTATAATCAATTAAAATTTTCATTTTAAAATTTAAACACTGTAGGCACAATTGTATATTCATTTTAAAATAGATGTGACAAACAAAATATGATTATAATAAATTAAAATTTTAATTGGATGGGTTAGAGTCACTTTTTTTTTTTCCTTCTTCCCTTTACCCCTGTGACTCTTAACTCAATATATTTTAGTTTTATTGGGTGAAAATCATCTGTTAATTTGTACAAGAGCTGAGCCTGTTCTTTCCTTCTTTTTTCTTTCTTTCTTTCTTTCTTTCTTCTTCTTCGCCTCTCATTTTTTATTTTAATTTCAGAGTGAGGATTGTAAGTTGTGATAAAAAAAAAGAGGGTAAATTACAAACACACCCCTTAAGGTTTACTTAAATTATAAATTACCTCCTGTGGTTCTAGAAATTACATTATATCCCCTAAGGTTTCTAATTTCATAACAAATAGGTCCTTTTATTTGTAAATCATCAAGTTAATTAACAGTTTTTAATAATGTTAAAATTTTATTATTGTATAGGTGAACAGTTAGAAATTTCACTTTTTCAATTATTTTTGTTAAATAAAAAATTCTGACAAGGATGTATTTGTAATTTTCCAAACTACAGGAGACAATTTGTATTTTAAGCAAAACTCAGGAGTGTATTTGTAATTTATCCAAAAAATTATACTTTTAGCTTTGCC